TTTTGTGAAGGAATTTGAAAGAAAAACAAATTTGGAGAAAACCCTAAAATCTTCCTTTCCAAATATCTTGAGAATGAGAAGGGAAAATTAGATTATAATGCATACCTTTGGCTTTCCTTATCCTCCTCTATGTTTTCCTCAAATGTTCTTGTCGGAAAAATCGTCGCCGGAAGCCTCTTCCCGTCGCCCTCTCCTTTCCGCAAACTCCTTCGGTTCGGCCGAATGGAAAATGGGGAGGGGGGTTTCGGTTTTACTACTATAAAAGATATTAGGTTTGCAAAAGACCCTCTTGCCCTCACTTACTCCATTTCAGCCTTAATACTTATGAGGGGTAAAATTGGCATTTTCGGGACTAAATAAATTTTAATTCTTAAAATAAACAAAAATAGGTATATGTGTTATATATCAAAACAATCAGAATTTTGCGTAAGATTTTCTAAAATTATTCCTGTCAAAATCCGAAAATATTGAATTTTTCACTTAAAACTCGTCGCGGTGCTTTGAAAAGTGTGCGAGGTCTAAAACGGCATTTTCGAGTTTTCACAGGAGATTAGGGAATTTGTTTCCAAATTGCAAGATTTGACTTGGGAAAGGAATAAGGAGGTGTAGGAGCTTTGGAAATTTCGGCTAAGAGAGAGAGGGGAATTAAGAAAGGTTTCAAAGAGAGAATTAGTAGATTTGGAAATAAATCCCTACAGATTTAATTAGGGGGGGGGGGGCAATCATTGGCTAGGAGAGGATTTGTGAGAGAGATTTAGATTGCTATTTTAGGATTTAATGATTAGGAAAGTTTAAAGAAATCCCAATTAATTTGAAATTCAAATTGGGTTTAAATTAGGAAACTTTCCTAAAATAAGTTTCTTAAATTAGGAAAGAATTTTCAAATTCAAAATAATTTGAAATTTGAAATTAAGCTTTCCCAAATTAAGGAGAATCATTTATGGAAGGTATTCAAAGAGGGGAATTTGAATTTTGGAGGGGGAGAGAGGGGATAGAGTCGGCGGGTTGGTGGGGGATTGGGTGTGGGGTTTCGGTGGGGTGAAGGGAGAGGTGACGGGTGAGGGAAGTGGAGTTGGGGCTACTCGATGGTGAGGAGGGAATTAAATGGTGTCCGGCGGCTTAAGGAGATGGGGATGGGCTTCACGGCCGGCGGCTTGGTGACAAAGGAAGAAAGATAGATAAAAGAAAGAGTCACGAACCCGAACGTCTCCAAGGTTGGTAAGTGATCCAAACTCCCCTCTCCAAGGGTCCTCACTCCAATCTCTCTAGATCTCATGAGAACTCAAACAGAGAGAAGGAATTTTATCAATCAATCATTCATTAGCTTTAGAAGAAGAACATGAGGGCTATAAATAGCTTCGTACAAAAGACTCAATAAATAAAAGGTTGACAATGCCCCTATGGCTTACATACGACCTCCCTTAAGAAAATGGTAAAACAGGAAAACAAATACACATAAATAATAAAAGCTACATAACATAATAAAAGAAAACAAATACATGAAATGACTAAAAAATACATAGACTTGATCGTGGCCGTAGATCGACAACCACGCCTATGATATATCTTCTATGCTCTGATGTCCCCATCACTAGGCCTAGTAATGGCCTCTTACTGGAATGAGGACAGTCAGATCGTAGTTGATACATATTATTGAAGAGAAAGATATTATGCCTGCCTGTATTGTTTGGGTTTTCCTAATCTCGAAGCATTTTTTTTCTTAGTACTGGTCCATCCTATTAAGCAAAGTTAATGAGATTTACAAATTATTTTATTCACTACTTTGTGCTTGTAATATTGTTGATGTGGTACTGAATTGGTCATTGGAATCAGAACACCCGAAGTCTTTTTTTTTTAAACAATGTTGCTTCTCTATACTTTTTAGCAGCTCGTTTTTCTTCATTAGCTACTGCCTATATTACGTGTTCTCATGATTTTTACAAACACTCTAGCTTTGTTAATATTGTTATTGATAAAAATGGCAGCTTCAAGCGAAAAGGTTCTTATTGGGACTATAGAAACATGGCATACCCATCGAAAGCAAGGAATTTGAAACACCCAAGAGATCAGTCTATTGCCACTTATAGAGGTCATAGAGTATTATGTACTTTGATACGATGCCACTTTTCTCCTGCCCACAAGTGAGTATTAGTTCCCACAAATTATCATGTTAAAATCATAAAAATATTTATCATATTTTGGAGTTCCTTACGATACTGTTGCTTTTTTTCTTTATAGATGACAATGTTTGCTTATAGGTTTCATTAATATTATATGACAAAAATGCTTACTAATGACGAGAGAATTTTTGCTTTGTAATTTGAAAAGAATTGATTTTGACAAATGTTTTTATCCATTGACATACAGCACTGGTCAGAAGTATATTTATACAGGATCCCATGATGGATGCGTATACATTTATGAAGTGGTATGTTCTCTGACCTTTTCTTCTGTCCTTAAATTGCAAAGTTTTCTTTCTATTTGACAATTATATACTTCATAGAACATTATGTAACTCAACCAAACTAGTATGTTGATTATGTTTTGTGGCTAGTAAGATATTTTTTTGCAATAAATATTTTCTTATAAGGAACTCAATGTAGTTGAAAAAATGATTTTTAACCTACTACAGGAAAATCAGCTATTTGCGGCAGCCAAATCCGCCGCAAAATCTGAAAAAATCCGTTGTCGCAAATCTTGATTTGCAGCGGAATTGTGACGGATATGGTTCTGATGGTAAAACGGGCGTCACAAACATATTTGCGATGGACAAAATATGTCGTAAAATTTTTGCGGCGGATTTGTGACAGAATAATCTCAAATGAAATGGCGGTTTCGTTTTTGTGGTCCGCTGTAGATTCCGTCACAAATTGCGGCGGATAACTCGTTGCAATTTGTGACGGATGGGTCCGCAAATCCACTACAAACCAGTAGCATATCAAAAAAAAAGCTCCTACAATCATTATTTGGGCTTTCCAACATTCACAATCCAAACAGTTATAAAAAACAATTTTGCAAAGCAAATATAATCAAAGACAGAAATTAATGAACAAACAACTATATTCAATAAAATTCAACAAAAATTATAACACTATTACAGTTTCAACATAACTACTTGTCAGAACAATTTATTGTCACAACTTCCCTTCCATTATGGAATGCCCATCAGTTGCCGTGCCACGATAGTAAGAAGAGCATAAGGGTGTTACCGGTTGTAGCATTCACCAACTTTTAGTCACATAAAATTTACATAAATGATCAAATATTATTGATACATCTTTTTATATTGATTTTGAATATGCTTTCAAAAGAGATTCCTAAGATATATGCTTCGATTCTACGGTTATGGTACTGCATGCATTATTTAAAGTATGAGGGATTCTGTTGAGTGAAAATTAAATACATAGATGGAAATTTGGGGGTTTAAATTAGGAAATTATCAAGCAATATTGCCGGACAAGTTAAATGTTTATCTAACCTTAGCTGTTCAAACAATTTCAGATCACTGGAGCCCAAGTTGCTAAACTTGACCTTCGTGGCTCTACGGTGAGAGACTGTAGCTGGCACCCTTACTATCCTATACTTGTGAGCTCCTCTTGGGACTGCATTGTTGCTAGATGGGAATTCCCTGGAACAGATTCCAACCCTATCTCAACAAAGAAGAGGAAGCTGCGTCGGTAAATCAAGGGAGAGCAGCAGCTTTCCTGCTATATACTCAGCATTATTTGTTCTTGTAGTCTAATACTATTTAAATGCAAGAACTTCATATTCGAGCATTAATCGGCAGGAGCAAATCCAATGCTATCTGCTGTTTGATTAGAAGCATGCTGTACATATTGTGTTTTTGAATTATTTTTTAGTACATAGATAGATGTTTCTATGTTTTGGTTATGCATGAAGCCTTCTTTATGGTGTTTTTATGATTTTTGTTTCTCTATTTCTACATGCTTAAGGGCTGCGCTAATCATGTCGACTCGATAAGCTCCAATAATTAGGCTTATATACATACAACAAATGTATTTAAAGGTTCCCACAAGTGCTTATAATTCCTTTGTTTTAATCAACCATGGCATTAATATGGCCTTATGGTTGCTTTTTTCTTTAAATAGTTTCATTGATATTCCTTACCTTATATTCAACATTTATTACCATTCCAAATTATGATTTCAGTAATTACAATATAGCCCATTGAAAAATTGGGGTTGGTAATCAAATGAGCCTCACATCAAGAAAATTCTTGATGTGCAATCTATAAATTCTACCAAAAATTAGATTCCTTGGGATTATGATGCCTTAGCATTGAAGGGCTTAAATTAGAATTTTGTCTGAAACACTGAAAAAGAAGGAACTCTAGTGCTTGATTGGTTAGCAAATGATGATCTTAGATTTATGTATTTCAGTATACTTCATGAGGGGAAGTTCATGAACAACATAGATCATTATATTGTATCATTGGGGAATAACATATCTCATATTTGATCATTTGTATGAGATTAATTGTTCTATTGTGAGCCCTAAATTTTGATTCATTGTATTTTATTGATGCAATTAATTGGTAGGATCAAGCCCTATATAAGATGATAGATTATAAAGAAAATATTAGACCAAATTTGTCTATGGATGAAACACAACCTTGCGGTCCTTACTAGTAGGTGACCAATCGATTAGAGCTAGAAAACATGATAAAGTTTGAATTTACAGAGTTAATGAAAGGCTTTAGAAGAAATATTTCCATAGCAATTAAAAAATAATCAAAATATTTACAACGTGATCACCTCGAGCAAGTTCCTTGTATAGAACCTATTAAATATCTGCGAATTATCTACATCGACATGTACAAGTATATGAAATCATTTTGTGCTTTTTATATTTCATGGCTAAAATTAATCAACACCAAAGTATTTAGTGGTAGCTTTAGATGCTTCGAGATTAGAAAATTGATGTATTAGTGTAATACACTTCGAAGGCTGAAAAGGGAAAGATCACCACATTCACTCTAGCTATGATCAGCATGATAGATAGGATCACAGTGGGGTTTAATTGTAACCTATCAATGCACCTCTCATACATTCTGCAAGTCCAAGAAGACGCTTAAATAGACAAATATAGTTAAAAGGACTGACAAAACATGTTCAGGGCATGAATATTGTAGTAAGTCAAAGCATAAAAATCTGATTTTTTATGGAAACAAAGACATTAGTATAGTAGTATTAGAGAAGACTCACAAGTGCTCTTCTCTTCTATAACAAATGACCTTTGCCAATTATCAAAGAAAAAGCTTCATGAAAGCAACAAAGCATTACAAAATGAGAAACTTAGCGGGCCTGCTTTGCAGCATAGGCCAGGGAGGCAGCAGCAAAGATACCAGTCGTAGCAGGAAAAAGCCACTTCCATATTCTCATCTTGTTCTTTTCATGGGCGACAGATAACTGCAAGAGCTCCAGTTTCTGGTTCAGGTCCTTGATTATCGTCTCTTTTCTCTTCACTGCTACCTTTATAGCCTCCAGGTTGTCCACAAACAGCTTTCTTTCCTCATCGTTATCTACTTCTACTATTTCATTTACTCTGTTAATGTGATTCTCTTGGGTTCTTACCTCAGCGGTCATCTTCTTAAACAGAGCAAAGACTTGGCCAGAAGAATCCTCTAAAGCCTTAAGCTTCTTCTCGGCATCCTGAAGTCGTTGATTTGATGTTTCGAGATGCTTCTTAAGTGAAGCTTTCTCAACTTTGGAACAATCAATCTGTTTCTTCGCTTCCTCATTCTCTGCAGTCACACGATTAAGTTCTCTCTGTAGTTGCTCAATCGTTATCTCCATGATATGCAGGTTTTTCAATGACTCATTTAATTGCATTTGCAGGGATACAATCTCCTCAGCTTTCAGATTCTTCTCTCTCTGCATATCAGCACAATAAGACTCCTTCATGGAAATTTTTTTGCAGCAAGAACTATGAGCATCTTCGAGGCTCTTTCTAGCAGACTGGAGCACTGAGATTTCTGCTTGCAAGCTGCTGATCTGAATCTCAACCATATTCTTCTCATCTTCCATCATTGTCATTTTCTCCTTCAACTCATTGATTTGCAAAGCCATTTCTTTCTCCTTCATATCAAAGGCTTTTTCTAACTCTAACTTCTCCTTCTCACTCTCCTCAGACCTTACAACCAATGACAAATTCTCCTCCTCCATTTCTTCTATAGAAACCTTCAAGTCACCTGCTTCATTTTCCAGCTGACATATAGTTTCCTTCAGCAAACGGCACTCTTCTTCCAAAGCCTCTACCTTCGAGGCATTTGCTTTGTTACTAGCATTCAAAGTATCCATATCTACGTCCTTTTGGCTTTTCAGCACCTCCATCTCTCTTCCTAATTTCTCCACCAAATGCTTAGCATCTTCACGGGATCTCTCCAGTAAATCCTTCTCACACATGACAGATCGCAACTCTCCTTTCATCCTCCTCCCCTCTTCTTCAAGTTTTCCACACTTGGCATCTGCAACCTCCCTCTCCTTAGACATCTCCGCAAGCTCTCGCTTCAATAACCGAAATCTTTCTTCCAAATCCACATAATCCTTGCACTTTTCATCAAGATCACTCCGACTCAAATCCCTCTCTTCCGTCAAGCGCTCCAGATCGCTCTCAACCCTATCCTTCTCTCTAGCCACAACAACCAGCTGCATTTCAGCCGCATTAAGCTCAGCAGCAATGGACTCAGCCTTCTTCAGCATCTTCCCCGCCGTCTCTGCAGCTGCATCCATCTCCGCGGTACTGCGTGCTGCTGCATCAGAGATGCTAGAGGATAGGACGATCCCACAGACGTCGCGCTCAGTCTCATTAAGGATATCACGGTCTGCGGCTAGTGCAGAGAGCTCGGATCGGAGCTGGTGGATCTGTTCACGGCGCTCAACCGTGTCCTTCAGAAGAAGTCTATTTAAATCTTTCAGGTTCGCCATATGTGCTTCCGGCGAGAGATCGCTCGCCACAACTTCACCTCCGGAAGCCGGTGCCTCAACTGCGACAGGTACGTTCTTCTTCTTCTTCGCCATGAGAGACAGCGAGAGAGGAGATGATAAGGGTTTGAAATTTTGTTTAGATTAGGGTTTTGGACTTACAGAGAGACTGAGAATGCCATTTATTTATATGAGAGTTGGGAGACTCAGAAGAAGGAACGGTCGGATAAAGCTTCAGTGGGAGATACGAAGAGCAGAGCAGACTGCTTCGGTGATCGCGGAGAACTGAATTCGAATTCTAATCGTGTGGGAGAAACGGACGGCTGTGATGGTTCCAATTTTGTAGTGACGGTTGCGATTATATGAAATTAATGGGCTCTAAAGTTCATTGCACGTAATTTATTAGAACTCAAATTAAATTTGTTTTGATAAATGTATAAGTTTAATGATTTATCGGGAAAATTTAACATTAAATAAATATATAAAATTTAAAAATTGCATATAATTCATAATGTTTTGATTTAAATAATATCAATATAAATTTCAAAAATTTGAATTTATTTTAGTTTAATAAAAAAATTTCTTTTAGTATTAAATTTATGATAAATAAATAAATAAAAATTTAAATATAATTTATATTAAATATTCTGCTAATTTTTTTCTTGAATAAATAAGAAGTTGAAATTAAAATAGCTTATATAAAAAAATTAATTTAGCGGCTCTTTGATTTTCTGAAAAAGAATGTAATAATATAAACAAAAATTCATCGTATTTAAAATGATTTAAAGTTATTTATTTAAGTGTAAACTAAATACTAAATGTTGTGATTATTTTAAAATTTTTTATTTATGTTTGGCATTAAGTAAAATGCATGCACTGTAAAGTTTAATAATGGTGGTGGTTGATGGTTGTGGGTATTGTTGTAGTGATGTAGGTGGAAAGCGACGAGCATCTGACACTAGATTGGCGATGAATTTACATTGTATTTTGAAAACACCAAAATTAGACCAATTACAAATATACCAAATTATAGTAGAGGGTGCATTCCGAATATTTATATAAAAATTTTACACTACATATATATGTTTTATTTTCAAATAAAATGTCAATATTTTCAAAATTATTTGAGATACTTCACGCCCAATTTACTTCAAATCAAACACCCTCATAATCGCACTTATGTCGGATTCATATTGATAGACTTCAAGAAGTTAACAAGAATATAATAAAACATAAAATTATTCCATAGAATAATATTATTGTATTAAAAATTTATTTTTATTTTTATTTTTTTGCAAAAAAAATTATGGTTAGTTAGTAAATATAAATGCGTCTGCATTTGTTGGTTTTATATTAAATTTTCAAAATTTAGGGTTCATTTGTGAATGAATGTTTGCTAAGATCTAAATGTAAGAATCTCTAATTAATAAATGGTTTTCTATGGAGGTTTTTTTTTAATATGAAATCAATGGCTTTTAAACGCATTTCAAACGTATGCATGTAAAAAAATTATATAATATTGGTTATTAAAAAAAAATTAAACCAAGAAATAGATCCATATTACATACTTAAAAATATTAATTTGATTATTAAATTATCTCTAAATCTCACATGCTTAAAAATCAAATTAAACATCTAGTTGAGATGAATACAAGAGCTCAGTATTGCTTAATTTTGATATCATTAAGGTAGTCAAATGCTTGAAGAATGGTTTATGATGAAGGAATTAATAGGGATATTATGATAGAGTTCTTCGAAATTTTGCTATATTTACGGGCATGTCACTCTCAAAATTTATAAATATGTCATCACTTTCTACATGAAAGAACCTCTTTAGTGTGAGATTCAAGGGAGCTCAGAGACTTAAAGAATTTGAGACCTCCAACTGAGGACGATTGTTAGAATGTCTGCATTGGACCATCGCTCGACTAAGCATCAAACACTGATCGATCGTCTCCCTTCGATAGCTCCGTTATAAAACTTTTATTGTTGTCTGATTGCCACCGCCAACTTCTATCATCGGACTTTCACCATTTTTTAGGACATGATTAAATGAGTATTAAATCTCCACTCATTAACCCCAATTCTATGCCATATAATTATAGTAGAAGCTTACAATAGTTGAGATATGAGTGATCCCTTAAGATTCCTATGAAAGCAGAAAAATATTCACCATTTTGAGAGACATATGACCTTTAGTGATACAACTAATCAAGTTTTTCTCATTGATGATGCATATAACATACAACTTTTTGCCTATGTTAGTGCGGCAGTACACGGTTAAGCTTCATTTGTGACAGCTTATTTGCTACTTTCTAAAGCAATTTTTTAGTCATTTTAGAAAGCAACAAAAAAGCTATCCCAAACGAAACCTTATTCTTATTAAAGCACCGAATGCTTATCAATAGATTTTACATTTTCAAAGAGAAACTAACAGGTGAATTTGTTGTGTTGAATAATAAATTGCAAATAAAAAGGGCATTTTATGTAACACTTGGCTTTGTCTTGAGTGAAATAATGTAGAGAAATGTCTATAAAAACTCAACAATTTCAATCTAGCATCACTAGTTTTAGCCTTTTCAAAGCTCCTTTCACTCAAATCTTAGCAATTTTCTCACCTGAAAATGGATGGTTCCACTGAACAAAAGTCACCTTCAAAGTCTGTCAAAACATGTATGAAACCGCATGCATTCGGGCAATTCATCATTTCAAAGCTGAAAATAATCACACAGAACAATATTAATATTTATTTGTACAAATCTCATATCAAAACAAATTATTTCCTCCTAAATCAACAAATGCACTCAGCCTGTAGTGATTTTTGTTCTTTGCCTGCATTTCTGTAAGTTATGGAGAGGAA